TCGCAGCTGGAGCTCGCGATCGACAGGGCCAGCTCAGCTGGCGTCAGTCCGGAGGCAGATGTTTTCAGACCTCTCAGCCATGTAATGCCAAAGGCTACTGGAATGATCTTATCTTGCACAGTACCTGGACGGTTGAACGAGTCACAGCTTTTCTTCGAAAGGTGTGTATATTGTTGGCTGTTTGGAGGTTGCGTGACCAGGTCTTGTCAAACTCATGAGTCACTTTTCGTGTCCTGCGCAGCCGCTGTCATCCGTGCATAAACCCCGTGCAGAGTAGTGAATGGATTATTGCATACGTTCACATTGAGGCATGACGGCGGCTGCCAAAGGTTGCACTTCATGCTTTGGTTTCGGCACCGTAACTTCGCTAGGTGATTGACCGTGCACAAGAGCATCTCCGTGGTCTTGAGGCCCTACTTCACTTAAGAAGCGCATGTCCCTGGAGCTGGGATCGTGGTCTCGGCATGCCATCTCCGCAAGGCAAAGGAAGAAGCAGCACGGGCGTCTCTTTTGGCTTTGAACGAGCTCCTGGCGGCCATGAAGCTGTCTGATCTGCACGTCCCCCTCTGAGAATCCTGTGAGCACCCTGTGCATCACTGTGTCGAAGATGGAGTCCCGCATCTTGGCAGAGGCATTGCAAAAGGCCTTGGATGCGGCGAGAAGTGGTGGCGTGAGTGATGAGATTTTGCTCCAAGGCCCCGGGCAGCCGATCGTTTGTTGTCATCTCACTTTCAGTCCCTGCTTCAGGTGAGCAGAAGCTGGCATTCTTGTTGGAACAGCAGGAGGCCGGGCCGAAGACTCCTAAGGAAACAGGTTTCTCTCTGTGGGTGGTTGTCAAAATTATGGTCCCTTTTTGGGTCCTTATCCTAATACGGCACCTATGTATTTAGGGTACCTCAAAAGGGGCCATAATTTTGACAACTATCCCTGTCTCTCTTTCAGGCGGAGGCCCAGCTGCTGAAGGCCATCACTGGAGATCCTCGTCTCAGCCAGGGGAGTGAAAGGGCAAGGATGGGGGGCCAGTGCCACATGGGGGTTTCCGAAATTTAGGGTACCTTATTTTGGGGTCCTTATAATAAGGATCCTACTATTTATGGTCCTATATTTGGGTCCCCTATTTTCGGAAACCCCCACATGAACGGTTTAGGGTTTAGGGACATTGACCTGCGCATTTTTTCAGAGATTGGGCTGGTCTCTGAGGACATGGCAACACTCACAGCTGCCCTGGTTCGCGCAGAAGCCGCCAAAGTTGATGGGCAGGCCAGCGCGAATGCCATATCAGGCAATATCCCGTTGAGGAGCAGTAGTCGTGCCACCGGTGGAGGGGGGACAACAGCAATAATAATAATAATAATAATTCGAGCAAGAAGCAAACGAGTGACGATGAGAAGGAGAAAGACGACGGCGAGGATTCAGACAGACTGACGACAAATCGCCAACATTGCCACACCAGCATCTTTATCATATGTCAGCTGCAAATCAGCTACATGCCTCGTTTTAACATGTGTCCGTGGGACGAGAGCCAATGCCTGCCCTGTCCAGGTCTGCGCGCGTGCACGGGACGCCCTGCTGCGCATGAAGCGGTACGAGGCTGAGCACGCGACGGAGGAGCTCATCGCAGCCATGGCCGGCGAAGATGCGAAGGTGCTGCTTGCGGCCTTGCAACGATCTTCGAAGCTCCTAGCAGGTCCTAGCCGGGTCGTAGGGTATCGGTGTCCCACTTCGGAGGCCCTGGAGCTGGCTTTGCTCCGAGCGCGGGAGGCCGAGGTCGACGCCAACCTGATCCAGGATGCGGAGGCGGCGCTGCAGGCGGCGGTTGCACGAGCTTAAGCAGGGGTCTGCACGGGTTGCTGCGGAGCGCAGCAGTACAGATCGCGCGTCTGCTGCCACGCAGGACCTCCGTGAGCTTGCGCAGCATGGTCCGGAACGGCGGGAGGCAGAAGCAGAGCTTCAGGCTGCCATTGACACTGGGGACCTGGTGCTTCTGGAAGCTGCGCTCGCAAAAGCGCGGGCTCTGAGAGTCTCAGAGGAGGTGCTCGGTGTCGGGATCGGGATGGGAGCGAGGGCTTTCAAAATCATTAAAATCAAACACATCAGCGGGATTTCAGCCTCACTCTCAGAGGTGCTGCGAGCTGCTCAATCCGTGCTGACAGCTGCTGAAGCGCAGTCGGACCTCTTCAGAGCCATGGATGGTCGCAACATCCAGGCTGCCTTTGCCATAGCAGAACTAGAACAATGCAAGTGGCCGCTAGAGCCTGGTGGTTATTTCGGTGCGGACGGCTCGTAGGCCCTCATGGCCGCCCTGCAGCGAGCAGAAAGTGCTGGTGTGGATGCCGGCTATCTGCAGCTCGGAATCGATGTCTCTGCGGGCGTGTGCTACTGCGACTGACCGCTTCTCTGCGTTCTCCTTCAGGCACATGGCTCAGGAACGATTACGTGCTCTTCAGCAGGCCCAGGCGCGTAGCTGCTCCTTAGACCACTTGAAGCTGATCCTCGCCAGAAGCTGCAAGGCAGATCATGCAGAGGATGACATCCTGCACACTTTGCAGCAACGTGTCATTGCCTTACAGCTGCTTCCGTGCCTGGATCTTGCCCAGATCCTTCCGGCTTAGGAGCATGACTTCGACGTGCCGAGGCCATGGTCACCAGGTAGGTAGGAGCGAAGATCCACTGATTTACAGCCATCAGCTGAAGGCGACCGTCGCTTCACCACGCGGACACCTCCAGCCATGCGTCGCTCGATACCAGGCCCCTGCCGCACGTCTCAGGCTCCCAGTATGCATCTCCACATGTGCATTGGTCACGATGCTGGTGCAGGCCACCACGTGCAACATACATGACTCAGCGCAGCGAAGGTGAGCTGGCTTTCGCCACAGCCCCAACCGGAACGTTGCAAAAAGAGCTGGCTTCGATTACGCGCCTGAGGCTCTGTCGAAGGGTCAGGGCCAGAGGCGCGCAACGTCATGAGTTTAGCGATGAAGTGCAAGAGAGCAGATTGAGCCCAACAACTGCAGGGAAGATCCCAGGAGCAACAGCAAGGCCAGACCTAACCTGCATCAGTTGCCGCAGCAAGTCTTGTCATGCCCGGGAGGACAAAAAGAAAGCTCCATTTCGGCCGTCGCTCATGGGCCAGGCGTGATCCTGCCAGTTTGCAAGGAAGTGGAGCGTGAGCGGTCCGCCCTTTTAGATGATGAAAGTTTTCGGTTCTGTTTCTGTCTGTGCGAAATCCTCGTTCCGACATGTACTGTAGCCAGTGCACGTGCCTGAATATGCTTGAGTTACTGTCGGAAAGTAGCTGGGTGCATTGGGTCCCGGCTATGTGTCTACAGGCCTCCCTAGTCAGTTGACATCAGTTGACCTCAGCCCAGACCCTAAACCCTAATTACACTCCTAAACCCTAGCCACCCCATACCCTGCCCTCCAGACCCTCATCGATGGCGGCACACTCATGCTTTGGAAATCTGGGTCCGCCACACAGATCTCCGCGTTCTCGGAGTCGCGCATCTTTGCCTTTGTATCCTCTGCGCTGAAGGCAGTCGAGTGGGCCTGCTCCCAGGCTCATTTGCAGATTCTTAATATTCCGATTTGGGAGTTTCCGAAAATAGGGGACCCTAACATAGTATCCTAAATAGTAGGACCCTTATTATAAGGACCCCAAAATAAGGTACCCTAATTTTTGGAAACTCCGATTTAGTATTCTTATCATAGCTTTAGAGACCCGACAAACAACGGGGAGGCCAGCCTCCACAGATCCACCAGCAGGAGAGAGGCTGGTGGCCAAAAGCCTTCTGAGAGCCTTTGGGCGTCACAAATGTTTGCCTGAAGGCCCGGCTCTTCAGAGGGAGCTGCCGAGAACTTCCCGGGATCCGGCTTCAGGCCTTTCCGACGATCTGACAGGTACTGTAGCTGTCGGATGTCGAGAGACATGTAAGCTAGGACCGCAGTGTGCCAGCCAGGGTTTGCAATGTTTCGGCAATCGCCATCTGCAAGAGAAGCGACTAATCTTGTGCCCCGACAGGCAAGCGGATGCCAGACCTGGCTCGGCTTCGAATACAAGGCATCATGCAGAGCCTTCATCGCAGAAGTGCATGAGCAACCTGTTGCCGTCCTCCTCGTGTTTTGGTTTGCCCTGGACTTGAGTGACTTCAGCTCCACGTTCTCATGAATGTTAGGTACTGGTACTGTATGTACCTGGAAGCACAAGTTGTTTTTCATAGCTCCTCTCCCTAGACGAGTTTGACATCCAGGTCCAGGCGATTCACCCTGCATGCCAGATCCACTCGCGGCGCAAACTCTACAGTTTTGGTGTGAGTGTACAGTCCTGCGGTACTATTACTTTACATGGTGCATATCCACGAGTAGGGCGCAGGGCACCTTGGCACACACAAGCTGCTCTCTGACATCGGAAACGTTTGCTTCCAGTCTCACGGCAGGAGACCCTTGCCCGAGCGCCCCCGCTCGGCTGCAGCTACGCGTCCCCCGCCCAGCCGGCCGCTCTCGGCGAAACCGCGGTGAGGCCCGACAGTACCCATCTGGGAGCATCTGTACTTCGGTAGGGCAAGCGAACTCAGCACACGGTCTTTGCCAGGCCGCAGCTGCTCGCACAAGACCTGCACGCAGTTGTAAAGATAATTCATCTGAGAGCTGCCCTTTTTTTTGTGTGTCCGTTTCATTAGTGTCATAGTTATCATACGACTATAGCTGCTCCTGTTCTTAAATAGGACTAGCGTATGCTTTCGTTCAGTCCGGGAGTCCACTCTTTCTGCGCCCGGGTCTTTGGAAGCCCCTCGACACCGGCAACCATCCCAAGCTTCTCAAGTAGCGTTAGGGACCAAGATCTTGCCGGGGCACCCGTCCCGACGGTGCAAGATCAGGTGTGAGAACTGACCTTCCTAGAGAATCCCTGGCCTCTGCGCAAAAAGCTGGAGTGAGGTCAGCTGGCAGCGGGACCTCGTTCGCTTCTGCTTGATGCAATACTATGCGACACTTTCGGACGTGAGGAGGAGAAACGCTTCGCCTACACGACACCCAAAAGCTTCCTGGAGCTGATCAAGCTCTACTCCGGCATGCTCGGGAAGCAGGCCGGCTGTCACCCGGTGTGGGGAGCTGTGGAGTCATGGGCTTGAGATTTCCTGAAGAGAGGTCTTTGCCCTCGCGGACAAGAAGTCGAGGTTGTCCTCCGGTCTCATCAAGCTGCGGGCCACACAGGAGGAGGCTCCTTCCCGCAGTCGCAATGCCTCACGTTTAAAGCCTCTCTCCTTGGTCTTGTAAACAGAATCAGGTGTGCGAGGGCACAAACACGGTCCTTACCGGTCTGCCTTTGTCGCAGTGCTGACCGTGGCACATTCAGGTGGCGAACCTGGAAGAAGACTTGCAGGAAAAAGCCGTCAGGACCTTTGCAGCATCGTGCTTTATCTGTCACACTGTAGCTCCATTGGGCTTGGGCTCGAGGTCATCGTGAAGGAGAAAGCTGAGAAAGCCGACACATTTGCAGAAGAGGCAGTTGCCGCCACACTTTCCGGCATGCCGCGCACGAAAGTACAATCAGTGCTGATAGCAACGCCGGTCATGGCTCGAAAGAGCCCCGCAACGAGCTTCCTCCGAAGGTGGGCCGTGAGAAGACGAAAGTGAATACAGAGGCACCATGGCGCTACTTCCTGTCACGTGTAAGTTCTGGCAGACATTCTGCATGGGACTGTGTTCGCAGGCAGAGAAGGCCAACATTGAGGCTGTGAAGTGCGCCCAGATTGCACAGCAGGCAGGGCGCTGGGTGTTTCTCGTTTGGGTTCGGATTTGTGCCCGCTTACTTTTGAGCCGCGGTAGCCTCACCTTCAATGTGCAGGTCGCCGAGAAGAAGGAAGACTGCATGCGAGCATGGTGCTTAATGCTTACAGAAAGCTGACGCAGGCAACTACTCTCGACCCAGAGGCAAAACAGTTGTCGCGTCAAAGAGCGAGTTGCAAGCCACAGCTTCACAGAGCTCAGACCTGAGGATCTCGATGCCGCCTTGCCGCTGGTAAACCAAGCCGAGGCTTCGGGAGCTTTGTGCTTTCCTGCAGTTTCCAACGATACCGTACAAACAAGTATATATAAGCATAGACCAGGCATGCATCGTGCACCCATTCATCAGTGTATGCATGCCTGCACATGTCGACGCAGACTCAGGCGCGCGCACACACACACACACACACGCACCCATTCTAGAGTTCGAGGAAGGGGGCATCACTTCCTGCGCCGCCAACGACAGGCAGCGCTCGATGTGCTGGACAAGAAGGAGTTCAACGAGTTGAAGGACTGCTCCTGTAGACTCTGTCCGGCGACTCTGCCTCTATCCCTTTGCCGCCCTCTGGTCAAAATCTATACAGACGAGTCAGCATTTCCATGTACCCTTTCGTGCCTGTATTTATGTACGCACATATGAGTGCCGAAACATATATACCACCACCACCACCACCACCACCACCACCGCCGCCATAAAGCACGGCAATGAAAACATCTTGTAGAGGCCGCATGTTCGACAGAATACTGTGTGTGTGTGCGCGTGTGTCTAGACCAGCCTACGATAGGAAAAGTCTGCCTGCAACCATGTTAGTCCTGCGTGAGCATAGGTGCTAATCATAGTATCAGTGCTGCCTTTGGGTTCTTGCCCAGTTATGTACCGTTAAGAACCTCGGTTGTGCGGCCTTTAGGATTTAAGCTTACTTTGCTAGTCTTGTTAGGTGCACCATGGCTGAAGCTTAGTATGTACATGTAGTCTCCATTGTAGTTCCTTTTGGGGGATGCCTTATAAAAGCCGTAATATAACTGGTTAAACCCAAAAAAGGAACTACAATGGAGACTATAGATAGTGCATTTCCAACAAGAAACTAGTCCCAGCACTTGAGGGGTCTAGGTATCTATATCTCATCTTTCGACAGCATAAAAATGCCGGTTTACCCGGTCCTACACGGTGATTTCTAGGACAACCGCAGATCTAACAGCCACCCACAGCATGGGAAACCACGGGTGGGAGCAATGCATGCAAGTAGACGTATGCGCTCATACATCGCAACGACTGCAGACTACGGAGTCTACACTAAGACTCTTGAAAGAGAGGCGCTAACGCGGCCGCCAGATGATGTCGCAAAAGTGTGCGAGACTGCGTTGCACCTGCTGGTGGCGCGCTCAGCACTTGGAGGCCCAGGGGACTTAGTAAGTAGGTTATAAGTAGAGTTATAAGTACCCTTAGTGGAATTACCCCAATTATAACCCTGCCTATAGCCGACTTACTAAGTCCCCTGGGCCTTCAAGCAGTGTTGATGAGCGTTTCCCAGGACTCCTGAATGAAGATAGTGATTCAGCTTGCTCGGCGTTCCTTAGGCGGGCATCGATCCTATGATTGAGACGGATAAGAAGGGCAGAGCCAAGGAGCACTGGGCTTCAAGGACGCACTTCCAGTTTCCAGGCTCTCTGCTCGGAATCAGGACAAGACCTGGAAAGGAATACAGAAGATGATGACCGACCCGAACAAATTCCTTGCTCAACTCAAGGCCGGTCTCCAACCTGCAGGGGTGAAGATGGGCAAGAAATCCCTGCAGACGGATGGAAGCCAGTATGCTTGTAATCTGGGACGCGCCTGGGACTGCAAGGGCTTCAAGCTCGTAATTGACGAGGGCAAAGTTCCGCCGCAGAACGTCGAAGAGGCGGAGCTGCCCGGCTTGCACTCTGCAAAGTGGGTTGACGGTCGAATGTCTGTAGGATGTGGAAGAGAAGACTTGTCGGATCGCCTTGAAGTAGTTACCCTCATGCCGATGTCAAGAGCACCGCGAAAGCATGACAGACTCATGCCCAGATCTTGTCCCCAAGACCCTGCAGTTGCATTCCATGCCAGGCCCGGAAAATCAAAGATGGGCTCGGTGAGGACTTCTACCCAGAGAACATGAAAAAGAAATCCCAGGCTGGGTTGGCAGTGACGGTACTGCCGCAGCTCACGGCAGAGGTAGTGGTTAAAAGGAAATGCTTGTTGTACTCGCTTGGAAACCCAGAACTGCAAAAGTAAGTACCAGCAATGCGTTGCATGGTGCTCCCACAACCCTACCGAACGTGAGTGGGATGCCAGTTCTTGTACATGTGTTGTCTTGCCATAGCTCTATAGCAATATGGAGCAGTAAATGACAACGGTCGCATGCTCTTTGGCAGTAGCCGCTTCGATAGTATACTGTAATGTTCTGATTTCGATGGCGACAAAAGCGAAGCTGAATTCATCCCAAAGAGATACGTTTGTGAACCATATTTAACTTAGGACATTTCACAGGAGCTGAGCTCTACCGTCGGCTGCAACAGAGAATTTGTCCAGCATCTCATAAAGACAGCCATGCACTTGTCAGAAGACCAGGCAGGGCAGGCGGTTGGACTCCATGGGCTTGCGATCGCTCTTCCGTGCATCGTATGTAGTATACCTTCTGTTGTAGCCAGCACGCGGAGCACATTCACGAGCAAGTAGAAGAGCAGCGAAACCAAGTAGACATCGTAGCGTACGATGGATACAATACTTGACCCAGGCAGCTGGAGGCCTCAGTGAGTTTGTCATCAATATCATCAAGTGCCCTGATCCTGTTTTTGCTACTTGCATTGCGAGGACAAGCTAATGCGCGTTGAGATGTTCAGGTACTACGATGTGGTCTGCCAAGTGGAGCCCAAAAAGAGGTCAGACAGTGAGATAGGGTAGTCGGGCATCACGCATGTGCGGCCTTCTGGACGTCTCCCAACCCTTGAAACGGGGTGTTCCTTTGGGCTTCCAGGTCGCTGCAAGAGGCGGCTGAAACACTGGAGAAAGCCAACGAACGTCACAGAGAGGTGACAGCGATGGTCAAGGACTACGGAGCTGTGCGGTTGCAGTCAACATCGTTCATCCATCAGAGCTAGTTGGACGAGGCATGCCGCTCGCAGAATTTGCGAGGACTTGGAAGACAGGCTAGCCACTCTCGTCGCCGATTTTGATGAGGCACGCCCCGTTGTGTGATGTCGTGTGGCTTTTTGTTGCGCTTCATGGCAATATCATATGCAATGCCGCAATTGTCCGCGAAGCTTCAAGTACCCATCGGTGTGGATCAAGTTCAATCGATACGGCTAAGAACCTTCCACGGCACATGTTTCATTACTACACGAAATGGAAGCCAAGAAGTGCCACAATCACAAGCCCTGAAGCACCGACACAGCTCCCGTGGACTTATGTTCGGATTCGACGTGTAGGTCGATGTCCAGCTTCGCCATGTCCCGTGTCGTATGGCGCCCTTCTGCCCTGGCTGGCCTTGGTCTTCTAGCTCGCTCTTGGAGCATGTCCTTCCTCTCCCCCCTGGATGCTCCGAGACTGAACGCTTCTCCGAGATCAAGCACTGCAGCTCTTTCAAGAACTTTCAGATTTCAAGGAAGCTTGCCCAAGGTTCAAGGCGCTGTTTTGCCCCAAAGATGGCTCCCCGGTGCATTGACAGCTCCAGGACAGACCTTCTCGCGGTCCTCGGTCGCGGCAGCGTGCTTGCCAGAAACCTTTGTGCCTCCGACGCGTGATGGCAATGAAGGCCGAACCTCGAGAGGAGACCATTTCGAGAGATGTTGGAGGTCCAGCCAGAGAATATAGTGTAGCACCTCCGAGGTCCTCAGGTCCTCCGGGCACTCACGCCTTTCTGTCACTGGTTGCAGACTTGAGGCGTATATGTTTCTGAAGACAGCTTCCTCGCCGAAGTAGCCGGCAGCATCAAGAACTTGGGGACGTGGCAGCATTGGTATCGTCCGCCTTGGTTCCTCAAGCAGGGCGATCTCATGAGCCACGGTTGAACAGGGTTCTGGGCTTTTCACTGCTTGGATGTTGGCTTCCTTATGGCTGACTAGAGCCCCAAAGTCACCGAGGACACTTTTTGCCGCCTTGTGCAGATCATCTGCAGACCTGACCTTCAAGCGCCACATCATAACAACCAAAGACAGCTCTTCGGCATCAGACCAGGGTGTGACAAGGGATGTTGCAAGACAAATGGGAGTTTCCGAAAATAGGGGGGGTACCTTATTCTGGGGTCCTTATAATAAGGATCCTACTATTTGGGGTACTATATTAGGGTCCCCTATTTTCGGAAACCCCCAAATGATGTGGAAGCGCGTCAATGGCTTCTGTTAGACGGCTAGGCGGAGCTCTGGCATTGGACCTCGTCGTGAAGGAGTTTTTGAGATGCTTGATCTCATCACCCGCATTCCCGTTTCTTTCGAAAAATGCATGTGAAGCTTCGCAGACTGTTCTTCGCACTAGTTTACATGGCAAGCCGATGACAGGACGGTCGTGGCAGAACTGCGCCCGGCATCGCCAGCCAAGCGACTTGGAGATACCATGTTGTCAACGGAGCCGGAATCACTCTGTATGTCTGGCGCATGAACGTTCCATGCAACATTGAAGCAGATCGTCCACGAGACTCTTGCAAGGCTCCGGTTGTGCTGCTCCTTCCAGGGCTGGGCGGGAGCAGTCAGGGTGGCTACGTCAAGAACATGGCCAATAAGCCTCTTGAAGGCAGAGGCAGAGGTCCAATCGGGAATCTTTTCTGAACTTCCCAACTGTTCAGGTTGACCAGTTGCGGTTTTGCGGTCGGCGTGCTCAACATGCGCGGCTGTGCTGGCTGCTCCCTTCGAACACCGCGCGTTTTTTCAGCCTATCGAGGGTCCACAAATGATGTGAGAGAGGCTGTCGATTATGTGCGAAGCCATCTTGTCAAGCCCCCTCACAAAGAGAAGCCCGTCTTTTTGCTGGGTTGGAGTTTGGGAGCAAACATCCTGATCAACACACTCGCAGAACAGGGCCGTGACACCAGCTCGCAAACGAAGTCTTCCTTCCTCAATGGTGGAGTGGCCCTCTGTGCCACTCACTGTCTGGTTCGTTGTGGTCGGCAGGCCCGGGAACATTGGGTCACAAAGTACGTGTATAGCCGTTTTGTGACACGAAACTTGCTGCAATGCTTACAGCCGGCGCTATCTCGTTATGGAAGCGGACCTGTACCAGGCTGGAATGGAACGGACATACGTGTCGACAGTCTCAGACTGGAGTCTGCGCAGGAGGTTTTCGACATAGATGAAGCCCTCATTCGACGCATGTTTGGGTACAACTCAGTGGATGAATATTACTACGATGCCAGCTCATGTCGCCGGGTGGAACAGGTGGCTGTGCCGCTGTTGATGGTGAGTGCTGCAGACGACCCCATGAGCACCGGATGGGTTCCTTTCGACAAGGTACGCGCTAATCCCAACATCATGCCGCTTGCCCCGCAGGAAGCGAATAGCACAGAGCTCTGCACTACGTTACTGGTACTGTTCTGTGTGCAGCGGGGCACTGACTGCAGCCTAGGTTAGCCTACACGTCTCATGGAGGACACCTTGGTTGGCATGATGACTCCAATGCGTTGCGGTCCCCATGGGTGGAAGCGGCATCGGCAGCTTTCCTCCAGAAGCTCAAGACGCCCTGATCCGGATCACGAAAATGGAAAAGACTCGCTGATCTCGTCCAAGGAGTCAAGTCGCGGGTCAGCACGAGAACCTTCTCGATGAAGGATTTTAGGCTAGGACATCGGGATATGTCGGGTTGCTTCTTTCTTTGACTGCTGAGACCAACAAGGTGAGACCAAGACCAAGGTGAGACAACTGTAAAACCGAGGTGAGACCAAGGTGAAACCGATGAGGCCAAGGTGAAACCAAGGTAAGATCAAGGTGAGACCAAGGTGAGACCAAAGGTGAAACAAACGTGAGACCAAGGTGAGACCAAGACGAGACCAAGGAGACAAGGTGAGACCAAGGTGGAGTGAGTGAGCCGAGGTTTGTCAATGGAGTGAGTCGAGTGAGTGGGGTGAGTGTGAGCGGAGTGAGAGCTTGCAGCCGCTTCCGAGGAAGCTGAAGCTTGAAGGTTAAGGATTGCGGGTCCTTACCCACTCCAACGGCCAGATGAACAACTATACGGGTCCTGGACGAAGAAGATGCCAAAGGTGGACGGGCCGAACTGGGATCCGGAGATTCCGGAGACATCCGATTCTGCGAAATCGACGTCTAGAACTGCGTCTTTAACGCCACCGTGTCAATATCTCTTGACACCTGCATTCAGAGACTTTTCAACCGTACATGCCACATCGCAAGTCGAGCCAGCAAGACGGCGATCGCTTGCAGTGCCCGAGTCGCTGAGAATGACCCTCGGCTTAGCAGTGGTCCACATATCGTTCAGGGCTTTGGGCTATGTCGCGGGTGCATGTTTGTACTCCATGATTCTTCGAGGTGTAATAGTGGTACGTACAATTCAATCTTTTATGCAAAGCAAACCAAAGGTGCAGGGAGGGCTGCAGCACGTCCACGCATTCTCGGCGTACGATGACCCGGAAGGATCAAGAGCTGCGCTGCGACATGCTGTAAAGCTCTTTGAGCGCCACAGGGCCTGTCGGCAGGGCACGGGCTTACCATATGCCTAGTGCGGACAGAAAGATCAGAAAGGGTCGTCAATAGCGGAAAGCCTTGTGTGAGAGTGCCGCGTACATGGTGCTTAAAGCAGAATATTTGAGTTATGGTAGCATCGAAGCATCCCTTTGTATCGCAGGCAATTGCTGAGAAGGAGGCTGTCATGGCTGAAGCCGAGCGGCCGGACCCCAAGTTTTTTGGAGCTGCTTTGGGCTGGCAGATGGCTGCTGCCCAAGGTGTCAGAACAAGCTGGACATGGCGCAGCGGTTGGTTGGTGCACTGAGTGTGGAGCACAGTACTAGTTGGCAAGCGTCCATAACCGCGAAAGAGATGAGTCATGAGCTTAGCTCCGTGGTGTTCCTGAGGTGCCAACGGTGTCATCTGGGAGCAGACCGTGTCGCTCTTGGAGACTCTGTATCGTTTCGAGGCAGTGCATGGCATGTGTTTAATTTCTGTCTAGCACGAGGTGGAAAAGACGTCGGAAGAGCTCATCTACATTCCCGGAGATTCCTTGGTGGCCTGCTCTTTCGCGTCATATCTTGGCGTGCCTGACTCGGTCGCCAAAGGTTGCGAGTCGGTTCACTCATGGGAGTGCCACTGCGTCCAGGTGTTCTCTCGAGATTACCGTGAGACAGCCACAGCAAGCTTCGTCGACTTCCTCCAGGCATTCGTTGAGTTACATTAGATTGTTTTGTGTGAAAAAGAGAAACCTCGTGAGCTGCTTGGAATGTCCTAGAGCGTTCGGAGGCACGCAACGTACCTCTGGGACCGGAGATCAGTCCATTGCAGGCGCCTGCTGGGAGATGTTTCGCCGGCAAAACAAGGGGCCACGTGTAAACCGGTTCTGTAATCAGGTTCTGTCGACCGAAGCAGAGCAAGCAAGATGGTGCGTTTCAACCTCAGACACCAAAATGCCACGTCGGCAACTCATGTAGAAATGATGTGAAGGATATGAAGGATCTTGTAACGTCTTGGCGGTAGCTTCCAAGTCTGGGGTGTCAGCTTGTCCCCCACACTATCTCACACTGATGAGGCAAATGGTCTGCCTAGTGACCGCGTTTCCTTAGAGAACGGTTCGCGCCTCAAATCTCGACATCTTGAGTAGCTGAAATGAAGTCGAAGCTGCTGCGGCTACACCATGCCATGCACTAGGCGCAATCATGTCGTGCAGTCAACGATGGAGCCTGGTCATCGACCCTCAACTTCAGGTGGGTGGTGACTCAAACTCTGTCGGCGTTCCATTTACGCCTGACCCTGATAACATTAACCAAGTCTGCACGCAGGGCATCGTGTGGATTAAGAACAAGGAATCCGAGAACAACTTGCAAGCCCGAGCCTGAGTCAGGCTAGTGGTAGCTTCCACCCCAGATTACGCACAGCCAACTTCCTACGGCTGTATGCCCTCAACAAGCTGCAGTTTCGGAGCTAAGGTCCGAGCCTTCGCAAGATCTTTCGCATGGTGTGTACAAAAATTGATAAGGCTAAAGACTAAAGATGAAGCAGATCACATGTGGGTTTGTTTGTTTATAGCCGGTGACCATGTCCCACTGTTCTCGTGTGAAGAAGCTCGGCCGGCTTAAGGATGCTGGTGGCTCTTTAGGCAGTAGTGAGGTTGCTCCTTGGCAGGACTGCGCATGGCTTGTGTTTATGTTGGCATCGGATTCCTCGGAAGCGAAAAAAAGAAGCAACACTGTCGAGCAACAGCGGGGAACGGTTGAGAATGATCGCGGCTTTGGAATCTGCGGCCATGAGAGCCAACATGTTAGTATCGCGTGATGCGCATCCGCTGCCACTGAGATCACCCGCATGGGAGCCCCGAGAATGGCCCGGGATCTGAGTCCACTGACACGAGAGCTCCGGAAGGCTTTTCCGTGCCTCTGTCGCTGCTTGGCTCAGGTGCAGTTGTTCGAGAAGTCGATCGAAACAGGGAAGAGCGTGCTGCCCTGTGCGAAGGGATGCGTGTATCAGGCCCCGGGCTCCGAAATTCGCATGTGGTCTCCTGAAGACAGGTTCTTGTCGAGAACATGGGCGAGCATATTGATGCCGTACTTCAACCCGTTATCGTCAATGCCTCGACTGGACTTCCGAGTGTTGGAAGTGTTGTATGCTGTCCTCTAGGCTGCTCTTGGCCTGCCCACGCTCCCAGCCAGGCTCGCAACACCATCAAGCGCGGGGCGCGCCAAGTGCTGAAGCTTGGAGACAAGGACCCCGAGAGATGGATCGAAGGGTCACGAAGAGGCTCCGCTTCAAGCCAAACTGGAACCGTTAAGACATGTCCAGACGAGACTCGGTATTGAGGAGATCAGCTACAACGACAAGTTCCGCCTCTTCATGCAGACGAAGCTGTCCAACCCGCACTATCCTCCTGAGATTCAGGCCTGTGGACAAGCTGACCAGCTCCCCTCAACTTGTGGCAGCGCGTGTCTAGCAATTGTCACGGTACTTGGTGATGCATGGAGCCGACGCGCAGCCCACCTGGCTAAGCATACGTGTAGTCTCTCTGGCCAGCACAGAAGCTCTGTTGTGATGACTGGAGGCATGTGGAATGCACGATCACATCAGCATTCGGCAACGACCGAGGGTGCACCATGCACGAAGAGAAGTCTCTTGAGCAAGCCTAAAGCACAGCAGTCAGCAAGCCACAAAAGCTGCTGGCTCTCGCCGACCAAGCCCTCCGTCTGCGACGCCGTTGGGGAGGCAGTTCTTGAAGCAGCCGTCAAGGCAGAGCAAAGCAGCATGAGTTGCGACCAGGAGGGCGGCCAGAATGGGTAGCGACGCTGTCGATGACTTCGCGAAGCTTGAGGCTGGCAGATGCTGGACTGATCTACGACTACGATTCTGGCGGTGCCTGACTAACCATCCTTGCAGGCTGACGTTATACGATGGCTTCTTGCCAGGTGCGGGCTGAGGGGATTCTCGCGATTGTTGGACTCGATACTGGCTTGGGGTTCTGTTTGGCTTTTGCCTTCACGGCCCTGAGCGCTGCTGCAGTGCTTTCCCGGATCACCCACGGAACTCACTGTTGCCATGCCTTGAATGCCAGGGAGGATGTGCAGAGTAGCGTGCATCTCGCGCTGGCTGGCAAGACTGATGAGGCGCGGAAGGGCTCGCAGCAGAATGGAGAGCACAACGGTGGCTGGCTGTTCGCTGTTGCACCAATGTTCCACGAGACTGCGGACAGGCGTCGGACTCCATCCTGACCATTGTGAAAGGCGAATCCCGTTTACGTAACTAACGTAATTTAGGTGCCGCATTTCGCGGTGCTTTGTGATTGGGGGTAAAGCGAGAGCTTGCGAGAGCGTGCTTAGACTTGCCGGCAGAGGGGTCTGTTGCTGGGACTGTTTCCGATGCTCCAGCATCCGATTTTGCGTTTTCGGTTGTCTCGGGGGCGTGGTACTGTACTGTACTGTACTATACGATACTATATAATACTCTATACTCTCTACAATACTATATCATATACCATACTAGTTATACTATATACTAGGCTAGACTAGACTCTGCTATACCACACGTTACGTACCATACTTTACCGAGGTGTGCTTCCTTGTGGTCGGGGGAGTCCCCCTGCAAGGGTTTGCCTGTCTCCTGGTGCCTCCCGGGAGGTTTGATAGACACGGCCCCGACTCCACCGGTGCCTTCAGCTCCTTCCAAGCAGCCGAAGGCAGGGTGCCTACAGCAAAAGCCTAAATCCGAAACTCCAAAAACCTTAAGGCCCTAAAACACTAAACCCTAAGCCGTCAAAACACGGAGGCCTAAAGCCCTGAGCCATGAAGCACAGAGCCCTAAAACCCTGAGCAATACACGACAGAGCCCCAAAACCCTAAGCCACAAAACACAGAGCCCTATAGCCCTGAGCCATACAAGACAGAGCCCCAACACCCTGAAGGGCCCTAAAACCCTAACCCATAAAACACAAAACACAAACACCCAGTAAGCTCAGCTTTTGCTTGGTTCTCCCGGCGACTGGGTAGGCGAAGCTTGCAAAACGAGCCGCGACCAGGCGAGGAAGTTTGTGGGCGCTGTCTGGAGATTGTATGTATGTATGTATGTATGTATTTATTTATGTATGTATGAATGTATGTACTCGTATGTATGTAATATCTACGGGGATGAACAGACAGAGGGAGCGAGAGAGGCAAGCCTGCATGGGCTGCTGCACCTGCGGAAACTAAGAAAGACAGTGTGCCTCCTGGCAATAAGGAAGGAAGTCTGGAAGTGAGAGAGACGCGTGCCGCACGGTAATCTGTCTCTGTCTTCTTGTTGTGGTTGTTGTTTGTTGCTGCCGCCGCCGCTCCTGCCTCCCTGGCTGCCTCCCCTGCTGTTGCTGCTTTTGTTGCTTGTGTTGTTAGTGAGGTTGGTACTATTGTGCTTCTATCGGAGCTGTTGCTTCTTGTCATAGCGGCTGTCACTACGATCATCGTATTTCTCGACTTAACGTCCTTCTCGTTCCTCTTGCCTTTGATTCAACATGATTAGTGGCTTGTTCTATTCCAAAAATGCACCATGGCAAGTGCGTAACAAGGTACAGCCATAAATGCTAGGACGGCAACGACGCTGAAATTGGGCGAAGCCTAGATCCCTTGAAGCCTAATCCAGATCAACACAGACATCAACCTGATGCACCAACTCCCGGCCCTACGACGATTGAAAACGTGGAGCCTGCCTTCGGCAAGCGCAAGCTTTGGTTTTGTGCCCCCCCCCCCAACAGGCAACTTTGAGACTACTAAGGGGGCTCCCACTCTCCAATCTCAGCGTGCAGACTCGATCTCGGAATGTCGGTTCAAAAGGCAGCCTAAGTAAACCGGAGCTGAAGCAAAGTTTTCTGTCAAGTTTGATCCCTCGATTTCTCCCTAGAGGTGTGTGTGCCTCTGGAACGAAGAGATGAGTGCAGGAATACCACTTCTAGAAAGAATGCCAATCGGCTAGGGTGAAGGCAAACAGTCATCATACGTTTGAAGCATTCTTCAAATAGATTGGTTGTGCTACGCGGCTGTGAAGATGGGCTGCCTGAGGCCCACAAGCCACGAAGCCCCAGAGAAGCGTCCACGGCAAGAAGCTGACGAGTACTGGCTGGACGCATGCAGCTCGGACAGAGTTTGGCGGATTATATTGAATTCAACCAGGACGTTTCAGCCTTCTTTGTCTCGTTTCGTGATGACGGAGGTTGTCCCTGTTCGAGTCGCGTTTCAGTTGCGTTTTACTACAATGAGCAGTCCTAAGAAGCCAAAATGGGATTCGAAACTTCTGTGCAAGTCTTCCGTGGAGGCTCTCGAGCAGTTGAAGCGGGGGCCCTGGCAACTCTGAGAATGTCGGCAAGAGCAATTCGCTGCATTCATTGATACTCTTGCTATAGTGCTTCGCTGCGACGACAGTGTTTTGCAGCTGTCGGCTTGAGGGTTTTGAGCTTTGGGTTTGAGGGACTGGGCTGACGGCCCACAGTCCATATTGCTGCACAAGTCAACCAGCTGACATGCGGGAAGTTCGCACCGTAGCCCTGACCCTAGAGGTAAAATTACAGACTTTCGAACTGTTGATCTGACGGGCTCCGACGCTTTCCCAGCTTTCATGCAACACTGTCGCATTATTGTGTCTCATAAACCAGAACTAATTCGCCGTATAATGTTCTGATGCGTTTAAATTTCCACTGTTCTGCTGTTTGTGTTCGATCTGGTTCGACTTCTTTTGACAATGCGGCTGTTATGCTTAACTAGTGATGTAGCAGTATAATATGTTCCTGATTGTTCGTGCATACAGCGCGCAGTCATGGTACGCTTTGCTGTATGCAGCAGTTAGTTGTTTGGTTTTGTGGCTGCTCCTTGCACGTCCATACATGAAAGGATTGTCAACAACATGAGTGCAAGGCCGCGAAGCGCTCAGCCCTTGAAGCAATGAACACCCCCAACCTTAAAACCAACACCTGTAATCCTTCAACCATAAACCCTCAGCCCCAAACCGCAAACCGCAGACCCTTGTTGGTGCAGGCCGACAGGCTCCATTGCGAGGAGCGACACCGCGCCAAGCGAACCTCAGAGGTCATCCGCTCAGTTTGAGCCTGACATCGAATAAGACGATTGTATAGGTATGGGTGTGTGGATGTCTCTGTATAGGATGCATTCAATATCTGTATCTATCTACATGTGTATGATGCATTACATATAAAAGTGTACACATAGGTAAAAATGTATGCGTTTGCATATGCGTAGATGCATAACATCTTTGCATGCTTGCTGGCACGTACTTGGTAACCATGCAAGTACGCATGTGCGTATGCATGATCCTGCATATAGAGCTGGCACAGTAAGAGGGAGCTTTCTTCGGCTGTCCCGAGGAGCCTCTTAAAGATTTTTTTTTTTTTGTTGGTGGGGGGGGCTAAGGGAGGCACAGAAGGAAGCGAGGGAGTGGGTCGTGTGGGCTGTTCTGACAGATTACAAGCCACTCTGCCGTTGGCATTCAGATCATACCGAAACTATGCATGGCAGGAATCTATATAACTTCGTTGCGATAGCTCCTACATGTAACCTTGTTAGTAGATGTTAGTAGACTTTGGTGCAGCAAGAACTCGAAAGCTCTACTTGTCAGAATCCCCAACCCGCTCTCAGGTCGATGTGGAGACACCGAGGCGCCTCGGATGTGTGTCCCTGCCACTCGTCTCACGAAGTGTCCCAGGCCTGAGCCGCCACAGCCGCTCTTCTGGCGTATTGACATGCCGGATGTGCTGAAGGCGGAGATTGGGGGTTTCACTTCAATTTCGTGACGGATAGCGTAGCCAGCTTGTCATGGAAAAGATGGCTGCACAGTCTGAGAGCGTTCACCGGTAGTCTTCGTCTTCGCCAGAACATGCCCATCTTGTCACGATGCTGCCTGACCCTGCGGGACTGCGTGCAGCTATAAATTTGTAGGAAAGTCCTGTTGCCGTGTCCGGCATAATTGCAAGATGTATTACCTGCACAGGGCTATGTTTGACGAGCTCGGCTCGCAGCATCATTTGCCAGGTCGCAGTGAATACTATGTCGCATAAATCTCTGACTACACTGCCACACGTCTGTAAGCCAACCACTCATCGATTGGAGTTCGACTGTATGCTCTTGTCATGCAGTTTCTTCTGTCTTATTATATTAGTATGATGCATGGAACATGCAAGAGTATAGGATATGGCTCTGGCAGGTGCTCTCCCAGCGCGGCGTGCTGCCGCGGAATTTTTTGCCGGTGGTGCTTGCCCAAGATGTCCAGAGTTTTCTGCACATGGTCGGAACACCTCCCTATCTGGCATGGTACTGACTCCCTGATGTCTTTCATTGCTCCAGTCATAAAAGCTCCTGCGTACAGAATCGCAGGTCGTCACATTCCCAGTGTCAGTCCTCAATCCAGTCTGTAATCTGTAAAGCTATTGCAAGTCCTAGGGCTGCAACTTGAGGGCAGCAGACTTGCACTGTGTGCTTACTCCGAAACTCTGCCCCGAAAGTTGCATTCACGAGGTGCGACCACATGTCACATTGCTCTACATTGGAGGTGCCGACTTGGAAGAGAGTGAGCCAGTCTTGCCACAATGTAGTAAGTGTTCACTGATTTCGTGCATAGTATTACTACCGGGTTCTGTTATTGACAAGGCTGCTCTACACTTGACGATAGTCTCACTTTACCGTCGTTAGTACGAGACTGGTTCACCATCATCCTGCTTGTTCGCGTCATCACGAACATGCCGACAGCTGCTTTTTACCAAATCCGCTCTTCGTGCACTTGCTGTCACTTGCTCTTATTACATGTGTATGCCTCTGCCCGGTAAAGCCTTACGCGAGCGTGAACCCCCTTTGCAACCCGAAACCCCGTCATCCGCAAAACTCAATCAAAACTGCAATGCTAGGGTGCCGTCAGATCCCGAAAGGGACTTTGACACCCTGAACCCCATAAACCTAAATCCTAAACATCCTAAACCCTAAACCAAAGCCGCCACAATGCGCTTTGGCACATGCCAGGCGAGGGATCCGAGGAGCGTGCGGCTGCTCGGGCAGAGCCGGCCCACTTTTGCAGAGTAGCAGAGATAGCCGCTGAAGTCTCCTGGGGTTTAGAGTTTTGGGTTTAGTCAAAAGTTCAGGGTTTGGGGTTTCGGTTTAAGTAATGGCTTTTTGCTATCGGGTTTCAGGGAGTATATTTTCGATAAAGAGTTTCGTGTTCAGCACACGGTTGGAGCAAAAACTCGAAGAGTTGCGCAAGAGTTGGTAGCAAAGGCGATTTTGGTAAGCCACTAGCAAAACATAAGGGAGGGATGATGACAGTAGTGGTCATCAGCACCAGTTTAGAAATCCCAGCTCCTTCGGGTCTCCATGCCAGGCGGGCCTTTCCACCTCAGAGTTCCAAGCGGCTAAACACATGTTGGAAAAGCTCCGAGGCGGGACAATTGTTGTTAAAGTTGGTACTATTGCGACTAGTGTTGCCACCATTGCTCGAGCGATGGAGTGGAATCGCTTGTGTTTTTCAGCTTTAGAGCTCAGTGACTCCTATTCTTGCCTCCACCATGTTGTGGCTATGCCCTCGTTGTTGCTGCTACTACTACTATTACTACTACTGCTACTACTACTACTACTACTACTACTACTACTACCACTACCACTACTACTACTACTACTACTACTACTACTACTACTATTACGCGGCTGATGAAGGTCGTGGTGCTGCTGCTAAGCGCTACCGCTACCGCGACTGGTACTGGTGCTACTGCTACTGCTACTGCTCCTACCTCTTCTTCTGCTTCATTGCCATGAATAGTTCTCCAGACTACTATTGCTCTCATGACCGTCAAGGCCCGTAGCATTGCAGCTTCCCTTCCGCTTTGGAGTGCTGTGTGTGTGTGTGCGCTTTGAGGCTCCACAGTCGCTATCAAGATGACGGAAATTATCATTGAAGAGAACGTTGCGTGGCCCTCGGTGAAGCTGCAAGACTGCAGGTGCCCTCAGAGGCTCAAGTCTCAGTTTTCCGTGTTCACCGAGGCCTGCGCTTTCGTTGACCTCCCAAAAAGCATCCCCTGTGGGAGCAAGGCAGGGCGGGAGGAGGTGGGCAAGTTGGATTTGTCTCACTCAGTGGCGAAAAGAGGTTTTGGCTGGCCATTGAGTGGAATTCAGATAGTTCCGTCGCAGTTCCGTCCGGAGCAGAGTCGGATCGGAGTAGAAAAAAATGCACATCAGCGCCAACTGCCGTGGTGGCAACTGCAGGTGCCACACCTGACACTAGGGACCCGCCAGGGAGTGCAGGTGTCTCAGGGGGCTCGAGGATTCGGCTCCCAGTCGTTGCCTTTGGTTTCAGGTGTGCTAGCGTCCACCAGGCAATTTTTCTCGCTGCCTGGTCTCTGAAACCCTGACCACTCAGAAAACCTGCGGCCACCTACTCGCAGCTGAAGGTCAAGCATTTCTGCATGCAGTTCATCTAAGACATTCATGGAACTTTTGGCCTCTTTAGCTCGAGGTTCGTGATTCACTCCTGTGTGTAATCTTGCAAGTGCTTTAGACATACTTCGCCTTTGTTCAACAAGCTAGGTTTGCCTCGGACAGTGGCTGGCTAACATATTAACATATGGGCTGAAGCTTGCCGAAGCTACAGTAGGTTTAGGGTATAGGGTATAGGGTGGCATGATTGGGATGTTCTCTCTTTAGCAATCCTTGCTAAGGCCAGCGCGTCACGCAAACGACATACTGGAAGAGGTCCGTGAAGGGCGTCAAGAAGGCCACCTCCCTTCGAAGATGAGCAGAGCGATTCTCTCACAATGATGGTTGACTTCATCCTAACTCCCAGGCATTACTCGCATCCGATTGCCCAAGCCAAAGGAGCTTAGAGGCGTGTTGCTGGGAACGCAATTAATTGTGAAATTGAGTTTCCACAGTTTGAAGATCGTGTTGGTGTTCTGGATTAGTGCTTAATGTAGGCAGCGGGCATCCGTTGGTGATACAGCATCACCCTTGAATGTCGGAACGTTCTCCATGTGAGAACGACTGCCCCTGGCCATGATGGGATGGGTTTCTGCTAGCTCTCTCACCTGTGCAACACTGATCATCTGAGGTTGGACTTGGAGACATCTGCCACCTACAGTGGCAAGACCTAGCGAGCAGTCGCAGAAACAAGCTGCAGCGTATAGCTGGCCTGTGCAATGCTTGCACCCCTCGTTTGTAAATAATAGTACTTCCCCGGTTGCACACCGTGACGAGGCCGAATGCACCGTGATTAACTTCACGGTTACGGAGCAGGGCTTGCAGGACTTATGACCTATGCCTATTCTGTGTGCAAGACCATGCAAGCTTTTCTTCGAAAAGCTTCACAAAGCTCGGGTTTCAACCTTGGCTCGACCATGATGCGAGGCGGGAAGCAGAAAGGAGTGCAGAGTAGAGTCGACAAGGGCTCAGAGGGTGCCCCACCATGCAGGACCAGCTCCTCTTCTTGGTCGTGAAGCTGGAGAGGCGGGCTTCATCTGAGCAACTTGTAAGGAATACGATTACCCTGGTCCCTAAACCTTCCAAACCTTTTACCCTTGCTCCAGCCTCGCAACGCCTCTTTCTCTCGCAAAAACAAAAATACCTATGGTCTCCATTGTAGCTCCTTTTTGGGGCTACCTTTTAGGATCCTTAATATAGAGTAAGTTAAACCAAAAAAGGAACCACAATGGAGACTACAGGTAAACCCTAAAAACCCGGACACAAAAACCCTGCAAACTGTGAGAGGCCGGACCTCGCCCGGACGAAGTCGGAGTTGATCCAGCAGCAGAACGAGTTCAAGGCCGCACGAAAGCTAATACAATGTAATACAAATACAAAGTAAAGTATAATTTAAGAGGTGATATCATTGTAATGCTGTTTTTGCGAAGGAGGAAAGATGAAGAAAGCAGAGCTTTGAGTGTCAGGTGCGGCTGGCCGACCTGGAATCCTACCTCCTTGAGAAGCTCGCTGGTGCAGAGGGTGATATTCTCGAGGACAGGTCATTTCTGCTTTCGGGGGTAACATCTTGTAAGACCCTTTTCGCAGTACGATGTTCCGAGAGTCTCGGCTTACGTGGAAAACATATCGCAACTCACCTGGAACCCGCGACCTGGGACCACTTTCCCGGAGCCATTCTCTCTCAGCCGGCAAGCACCATTCCGATACTAATGGTAATGACTCATGGTTCAATGATGCAACAGTATGGAACACTGCAGACACCAGCAGTAAGCAAACATCCGTTCGGTGTGCTGTATCTTGAACTCATCAGTTTCGATCTCCCGCACCATCTCATGTGCTACAAGATGAGCCATGAGCGTCGTACGCCTTGACGAAGATGATCTGGACGAAGAGGATTTGGCGATTCTCAAAGAGGCCATCCACGATGCAGGTCTTTCGTGTCGATCATCCATGCGCACTTAGTGAAGGTCGCCAAGAAGGGATACTACCACAATCGCCCAAAGAGTGGGGAACTCGGCCAATGAGCTCCTCTGGGCGCACTCATCAGGAGTGGCTGTGCATGCCGCTGCAAGGTGAATCCTGTGCCGCGCCGCAGCGCGTAGAGGAGGTCAGCGACATCCTTAGCGTCTTCTGAATAAAAATGAATAAAATCCCAAACCCGAAAACAAACCCCAAAGCCTAAAATGCCTAAAATCCGTCAGCCTTTGCTTAAAGAGACATGGGTAGTTGCCGAAAATATGGTCCCTTTTGGGGTACCCTAAATAATAGGTGCCGTATGATAATAAGGACCCAAAAAGGGACCATAATTTTGACAACCACCCATATGGGAGTTTCAGAAAAAATAGGGGACCCTAATATAGTACCCTAAATAATAGGATCCTTATTATAAGGATCCCAAAATAAGGTATATAGTACCCTA